TTTTATTTTTGCCGGCTTCGGCCTGCCGACGCGATCGTGTCTGGTTTGCTTTCATATGATGACATTTTCCTGACAGAAGGGTGTCGGGAAAAACACCTCGCGCTGATCATACGTGACAAAATCCGCCGCGCCTAAGCTAATGAAGAAAAGTCTCCTGGAAGGCTCCATACAATTCCTTATAACAAAATTATAAGGAATTGTATGGAACCTTCCGGGATACTTACAGTGCAAGCCCTTTGTGGGAGTTATGAAGCCCGTCACACTTCTTTGTTATTTCTTTTTGTTACTTTCTTTGGACTTGACTGCGCCCTCAGTAGCAAGATTCATGTCAGTTTGAACTTATTGAGCAGGAGGAACGTCGCATTAGTTTTATCAAGTCAAAATTGGTGAAAAAAAGACAGTGGACTGTGTCTCTAACGTCAGAGAGCCCATGCAGCACAGTTGGTTTCATCTTTAAAGACGTTCGGCATTTATAACCCTTTTTCTCTATCAACTACGGGCTGTATGATCACCGCCGTTGAGAGAACAAACAATCATCACACATCAACAATATGTTATCTCCCGGGAGTGCACAAAGCCATCAACATCTATCTTGCTATTACTAAAATCTGTTAACCAAAAGAGGCGCTCCCAAGATATTGTTCATACCAAGGTCTACTATACTAAGAAAGTTTTATATATCATATATTACCTGCAGGATAGGTGATCGGGTTTACTTCTGATGATTGATACCATGGTACAACAAAGTCTCTTTCTGTAAGATACAAATAGTTGGCTGTTTTAATGAATCCAGTTGGCCAACAACTGGTCTTATCTGGGATCGTACCATTCCGAGCTAATATGATTACATGTAGTCTATAGTATTCTCTCTTGACTAACATGGTGGTGTAAAGTACGTAGTTAGAGTCCAGATTCTGTAGCTCAAAGGATGGTTGGACACGTCATTCAAGAGGCTTAGATGACAAAATATTTTTTGTCGCTTTTCAGAGAAGAAGAAAAGCTGATAAGTCGACGAGCTTGCTTTAGTAGAGCGACACTCTAAAAATGCAGGCCGGTGTTTCTTTTCTTTTCTTTACTTGTTTTTTGTTTCGTGTGTCCTTCCCAAAAAGGGAGTCATAATCCCAGGTAGGGTTTTCCACAAGTTGCTCGGCAACTTTTTAGCAACTTCTGGTATTTGGAGCAACTTTTTTCGTTTCGAGCAACTTTTTGCTTTCTGAGCAATTTCTCTCCTTTTCCAGTAATTCTGAGATATCGGAACCGCCTTTAGTGCTTAAATTGGCCTTTCTTAAAAAGGAGCCAGATCCTCCTCCCTGGGGCAGATCATGGGTGAAAGATGCATGCAGCCGAGCTGCTAGGTCAGCGGTTTTTAAAAGAAAACTTAACATGGCAGACAAAGCCTGTCTCCGGTGAAGAAGGTCATTCAACAATTTTATTGGCTCATACCAGAATTTTTACAAGATTAATTTTGATATTGACAGAAGCTCATGACTATGAGGCCATGGGCTCCTGATATTGATGCGTAGTCTTTTAAAACTCATAAATTTTTTGTTTTTAATTGAGGCCAAGGTTTTTAGCAACGCCCCACTGAAATTGTACAAGGAGGGAGGGTAAAAAAAGGTTTTGTTTTGTTTTTTCAATCTTTGGAGCAACGTTCGTCACAAAAAGCATCTTGTGCCTTTTTTGTTTAGCAACTTTTAAGCAACTTTTTGAAAAATCACGGGAAACTTCTTGAGAAATCTCCAGCAACTTGTGGAAAGCCCTAGTCCCATGCGTTCCTAGCGGAGACCGTGGAAACTGGGGATAAGAATCGTGACAAGTTTCATTGTACGCAAATGAGTCTCGTGATGAGCATGCGGTTTATTTTCGACAATAATTGAAATGACACGCCATGCATGTGTTCACCACGTTTTTGAGCTTACTGGCTTATAGCCAGAAAACTTTATGGGCATCGGCCTAAGTGCCTGTTTAAATGGAAGTGGGGGACCCCGGGCTGGTGAGGGAGCCCGCTCCCCCTTTGGTGGGGTAACCCGCCTGTCCATATAATCTCTTATTTTAATTTGATCACGTTTACATGATAGGTGAGGTGACCTGCCACACGTTAACTCACCTGTATGGGGTCCGCCACCTCCATGTAAACAGGCCCTAAGAATGATGGTAAGGTCAATTCTATTGTTCCCGTGCGTGCGGTAAAGCGTAACCTTCGGAGCCGAAGGGACTGTGTTCGATACCTACTATCTCCCATTATCTACCTGTTGCTATATT